GACAACAGAACCCCAGTCCTCCTATGTTGGAGGAGTTTTTCGCAGCGGGCTGTGCCAGCAGATGATTGTGCACAGTGATCTGGGAGGTGGCAGCAGTTCTGTGGGGAGTAGCACAGGCTTGTTCTGCAGGGTAGTTTAGAGGCTTCAGGGGATGGCAGGAAATTGCCTCCTAGCTGAAGATGCTTCCTACCTGAGGATGTCCCAGCTTATTGCAGGGGGGGTGGACTAGATGACTTCTAAGGGTCCCTTCCAACCCAACTATTCTGTTACGCTTGGTGAGTAAGACTTGAGAGTTCAAGTATCAGTTATTTCTGCTCTCATGAGAAACAGAACTAGTCTTGCAATGCTTTTAAAAAGGGAGCTGGACTAGATGATTTTTAAAGGTCCCTTCCACCCTAAACCATTCTTGGAGTTGATGAACTCCTTGCTCTTTGCCTATGTATTCCTCCTTCTAGGTTCTGCTGTCATCTTTATTTGGGGGAAGTTTGTACTCTCTCTGCATGGGAAGCAGCAGAAAGCTTTCTCCAATTCATGACACTTCACATGTGTTTAAAACTCTTAGTCTCTGTAAAGTGAGAAGATGATGTGAACCCTCTTTGCACCCGGAGAAACTGCAGTCAAATTGAGTTGCTTGCTCAGACTCCCGCTGCAATGAGGTGAAAGAGCTGAAAGTGTGACCTGCAAGTCATGACTCTGGTTCCTGTGACTGAGCAACCACATCCACAGCAGAGAAAGTTCTGGCAGCCTCTTGGGAAAGGCTATTGTCCAAAGTCTAACTGTATGTCCATCAATTTTGACTGGGTGATCACTGCCATCTTCTTAATTGGACAGGTGGTGATGAAAGCAACAAGTCAGGTGTTAATGCTGATCCTATCTGCTCCCCCAGCTGCTTTTGCTGTCAGTGATTATGGGCTTTGAATAGCAAGAGTTTTGCTATTGTCTTTTCCAGCTCCTTTTGGGGTACTCGCATGATTGCCGAAGAGGGTGATGACAATTTGGGAGAACTTTGGATCCCTCCCGACAAATCCTTCCCTTCCATCCTTCTGAGGACCTTGGTAAAGCTTTGAAATTGCAAGCCAGTAGTTACCACTTACAGGCAGAGGAGTAAATGGTGCCATGTGAAGCTTGTGCAGGCAGCATGCTGTCTTCTCTAGCAATAGTAAAAGAGGGCTCGTGCCTCCCTGCTTGTAAACTGCATTGAGTATCTGTATTGCTCAATGTTACGGTTACTGCTGAGATGTGCAGGAGCATGAAGTTCATTGTGGGGAGAAGAAATAGGAGACAGGCTTAACCTTGGCATTTACTTATGTATGTGTGACAGGAGACTTCAGCAGCAAAAAGAAAGCCCCAGTGACAGAAGAAATATTTGCAGCCCCTGAGAGCAGAGGGCACAAACACACACAGCTTCTGGTGCAGAGACAATGCTTTCTGCCCCTTGGGGAGCCTGGGGGGGCTAACAGCATGCTCTACAAGGGTCATGCTTCTTCTCCTAGGTAACTGTTGGAGAATGGCTTGCAGAGCAAGGCCATGGGTCTCTACAGGAGCTAATTGCAGCCATCTGAGGCAAACAAAGGAAAAAACCCAGGGTACAGTTATGATAACAAAGGACTGTTATGTTAACAAAGAGAGAAACTGAGGTACACAATGGCCTTGAATGTGATGGTAAAAACAACCTTGGGAAAAAAGGCAGGCCAGAAGAGGGAAGATGTTGTGACATACCTGAAATGCCACAAGGGGCTGGGATATTATAATGTGACCTTTTACATGTATCCAATAGATTTGTGAGCAGTATGCATGATTATTGCAGAGTGCTTATATAAGGTGTGATTTCTTTTGATAAAGTTGAAGCTTGCTCTATCTCTTCAAACCTTTTAACTATTTCCCGTCTCACAGGTGTCACCAATATTGTGTCATTTTTCATCACAGATACCAGATCAACAAGAAGTCCAGAGCAAAGCTCAAGTGTTAAAAAAAACCTAGAAAGGGGTAACGGAGAAGGACCATTTTCTTTAATAACCTGGGTAAGAG